TGACCCTCTGTAGGCGCAGGCGTCCTGTGGCTGTCCCCACAGAGGTCACAGTGAGCCATATCCGGATACGGACGCAGATAAATCATGTGGTGCATGACCGGTGTTTGCGGAAGCAATGCTACTCCGGTGCCAAGACGTTGAAATTTTCCAGGTAGTCCACTCGAGCCTCAGCGAAGACTGCTTCCACCACCTTCGAGAGCACATGGAGCAGAGTCACTTGGCGATTATTCGCAGGATCTGTATAGCTAACATCTTTAAAAATCACCGTAATAATCCCATGTATCCACCTAGAACTGTAGCAAAATCTCGGTTAGCTTAGTGTGGCCGCAGCCTTCAGTGCTTCCGGACGAGTGCTGTCAGCTCCCTGGAGAGTTATGCCTTGCGCGATGAAAGTAACATAATTTAGCATGGTCTCTGGGTGGAAAATTAAATGTGTTAACTGATAGAGTTGGTAAAGTGGATGGATATTTAACACAGACAAGCTGACGTTTTGTAGCCGCAGAGGCAATTGGCTGCTTGGTTGGCGTTTTTGTACCATGCCTGTAAAGTAGCATTTTTGTTATTTTCCAAAACGCATTTTTGCCAGATACTGTTGAAAAGTTACTTATTTTCAACCGGGACAAGTGTGATCCAGTGGTTACGGTTGGTCAGAAAGTTATCCTAAGTCTCTAAGTCTGGATTAGCCTTGTAGGTACGCCATGCTGCGTCTTCTTATTGCCATGCATTTTTACTTCTGCTTCTGGAAATTGGACGTCTATTCTGCGGAGCGTCGACGAGACTTGTTTTCCGATTGCTCTGTTGATCATGTCACTTAGACTTTCAACGAGCCCTGACCAATTGCTGTACAACTGAACTGGTGTTCGAGAAACCCCAAGTGGATGTTTCGACGAGTTCTTTCAAGACGTGATGGAGTGTGGTTGTTCGAGTTGATTCCGAGTGTTCAGATGGATACTAGGTATAGCAAACATAGTTAGTTGTTATGAGTGCATGGTCGCTGAGACCTAATTGACTCGTCATCACTAAATTGTCGATCATAAGCTCTTCACTTGTGAGCACAAGGCTCATTACGGACGGTTCATTTGCTTTTCTGAATCTAGTGGGCGAGGTAACATGAATGCATAAATAAATCTTAGCGATAAGTCCATGCAAGTATGTTTTGAACGGTTCATGGGGAGACGCTAAAATCTCCAGATCGTGTACACTGAAATCATCGGCGATGAGAAAGATGCTGTACCTAGGGCGTGCTACCCAGTTGAAGGTACGTATCAATCTAGAATCCTTTTCCGGATTGGATGTTGGGGGGCGGTAAACAATGGAACAACGGTATAATACGGATAAAAATAGTCCAGGCTTGACAAGTCCAGTAGAACGCATTGTGCAAATAAGGTTAGTACCAGAAAAAGTTACACAACAGTGACAAACGCATCTGTGGATTCACCACATTACCCACCTTAACACATAAGTGTATCCGTTTCTCCGACTTTGTGAGGGTTGTTTAGAACAATGTTTACCTGCGCTTGTCCTCACTGAACAAAAAATCAGCTTACGTAATGCAGGCGGTGTGAAACATCATCGAGTCGTTTATTTTAGCTAGATAGCGTGGGCGTAAAAATGACAACATCCCAAAGAGCGTTCCACGGTTGACGAATTCGAAGGGAAAAGTAATTCCGGCAGCACTCCATCCGACTGTATTGGCTAGCCAATTTCAACTTATGACCCGTCAATTCTGTGTTTCGGCTGGGTGTCAGGAGTTTGCGGCAAGCGTGGCCGGGTTTTTCAAGATTTGGAATGTCAGGATGAGTCACCACATAGACGGCGATATGCTCCGCTGTACACTCCCAGAGCTTTCAGATGCAACAGGTATGACACGTGGAACAATCGGTTTACACTTTTGGTTGCTCTTCGTTGTGCGGTCTCCAGTGTGGCCAGGTCGCATTGTAACCAGGGTTGTCAAACCTGGCTCGAATACTCTACATGGGGCATCACATACGCAATAAGCATTTATGGAAAAAATGAGGGATCGAAGCTCGCGAATGCGCTCGGTAAGAGGCCAACATGTTGGTTTGCGGTTTTTGATGCCTTCAAGGACTGCGCCGAACAGCGGAGATCATCTTCCATCACCACCCAAAGATCGGGCTCTTGTAAAGCGGTCTTCAGCATGTGGTCTCCAAGCTTACGTGCGGTAGTGAGCTTGTGGCGGACAAGCACAATTCCGCACTTATCCACATTACACGGAAGTGGATTTACCTTTGACCATTCAAGAGAGAGGTCCAAGTCTCGTTGCAGCAGATCATGATCTTCCTGACAGCCCACCGCCCACCATATCTTGATGTCATTGGCAAAAAGCAGGAAATTTGGCTCGATGACACGCGCGAAGTCGTTAATGAAGAACAAGGATAAGCGCGGTCCCAACACTGACACTTGTGGAACACCGCAGTCCACATCAATAAGATCAAATATGAACCTCGAACTCGAACCTGAAGGTGCCGCTGAAGGAGAAAATTTTCAATCCATCCAAGAACTAGATTCCCAATCCCATACCCTCGCAGTGTGTGGAGAAGGATTCGGTGACCTAATCGGTCGAAGATATTAGAAAAGTCAAGGTAGATGACATCAAAGTCAGTCCCACTGTCGGCTATGTTGCTCCAACTACCACGGGCAATCAGTAGCTTGGCAGTACATGACCGATGTTGACGGAATCCGTGTTGCTCCGGTGCTATGACGTTAACTCAGTCAAAGTAGCCAATTACGACTTCATCACTTTTGAGAGTACCGGGAGGAGAATCACCGGGCGATAATTGGTGGAATCTGAACTGATATCACTCTGTAAAACCGGAGTGATGATGGCCTGATTTCACATGATAGAGGCTTGCTGTATATTTGGAAAAATCTACTTAGTGGCCAAGTTATCCTCGTAGCTGCGACCTGCAGAACTTTCGGGGAAATGTTGTCAACTCTGGGGGAACCACAATTGCGCAACAAAAGCACCGTACTCAAAATGTTCGCTGAACTAAACGTGACGTGTGTAAATACCGGCGTCTGGGAAAATGGGACAGGTATGTTACATATGCTGGTAGCAGATCGAAAAATTAGAGCATATTGTAGTCGTAGAACTTTGGCTGCATCCTCGACGGTTTGAGCACACCCATCTGGTAATAGTAGTGGGGAACGCCCCGCTTCACATTCCGGAGGCTGTTCACATGCCAGTAAAAAGGATTTTCATTAGCACAAAACTTTTCCGCTAAGCTCTGTTGGTGTATCAATTTGACCTCACGTACAAGGGTGGTACAGTAATTACGATGTACTACATATTTGCTCCAATTGTCGGGGATAGCATTCGCTCTTTACACGTGCCATGCTGCGTCTCTTACTGTCAAATGTTCTCGGATTCTGTTCCAAATGAATGATTGTGCGCTTGCAAAACGAAGGGGCTCGTTTGCCGATGCGGATTTAATCTGATCACGGAACATGCCAGCAAAATCCATCCAAGCAATGTCGATGGAACAGTCGCCCGAAAACTCACAGCTGACATTTCTAACAAGTTCTGTAAGTGTATCCTAGTGTGTGCATCTTCGAAACAAGTCACCATGTACTTGTGAAGTTTATGCATAACACAAAGTCGTAAATTATTCTTACATGGTCACTACGCCCCAGAGGGTTCCCATCTTTGGTTTCTCAAGAATGAGCTATTCGTCCGAGTACAGATGATTTGTTTCCCGATCTGAATCGGGTGGGCGAACTGACATAGCTGAAGAGCGGCATGCTTGCAATTTGCTGTCGCAGGTCGGCCTTGAAGTGCACGGTTGGCGATGCCGGAACCTCTAGATCGAGAACAGTGAAGTCGCCTGAGATGAGAACATGAATGCATCGTCGTCCTAGAGCCTTCGTACAGCCAAATCTAAGGCGGTAGTCTATCACAGTGTTGCACATTGGGGACAATAAATAGCTGCAAAAATGCATGCATCGTTTCGACCCAGTCGCAGCGTGCACCAGAGTGAGCGTTTGATAAACGTTTCCGGAACGTCCACCCGTTCGCAACGAAGGTCACTACGATATACGGACAACTTAGTGCAGGGAAGCGGCACATGATCATGTTACGTTTATCCCGAACTAATGTTGATTTCGGGTGTTGGGAATCAACGGCACTTGATCGGTGCGAACAGCAATGGCTTAGCAATTGGGTGGTCACCCAAGTGTAGGAGAAATCACTATTGCATTCAGAAGTGAAACTTCGATTGAGGAAGCGACACACGCCGATGGAGTGTAGTCCATGGACGTCAAGCGCATGGTGCTGTGGCCCATGCAGTCGCGAGTGTCTCAGTCAGACCACCAGCGCGGCCACGTGGGGTGGACACCTGAGCGAAAAGGAGTTGGCTGAATTGATACTCCTCGTCAGCGCAGCGCTT